CAAAAGAATTAGAGTTTCAATTTTTGATAAGTGTGGTCTGAGGTGGTTCAATATCAAAAAATTTCAAAATATTATCTACAAAAAAATAAAATATAAAATAGATTGAATTGACAAAGTTTGCCATGAAGCAGGCCATAAAGATGTATTTTTGCAATCCAATGGTGAATGTGAGTTTTATTTAATTTCATTTTTGAAGAATCATTTGGCTCAAATCACACTTATTCAATAATTTAATTTTTTGTTGATTTAAATAAAATTACTTAAATTCAAAATTGATTACTAAAAAATACAAACAGCTGTAAAAACCGAAAAAATTGAATACCGCGTCACTACTTGTCATGTGAAATATTCACACAATGATTTTTGGATAGAATAGATCCGTAAGATCTCCGCAAGATCCGGATCCAAGCGTGCGTACGTAGCCGCATGATACATACATTCCTTACTCCGTAATGCTATGGCATGCGAATCAAAGAAGGGGAAATAAGAATAACGAATTTGCGTGCGTATTATATATGTATGCATCATGCGGCAACGTACGCATGCTTGGATCTGGATCTTGCGGAGATCTTACGCATCTGTCCTACCTAAAAATCATTGTATGGAAATATTACGTTTTACTTATATCGAGACATACACGTTTTGAGTAACAAATCTATCATCAAGTCTGTAATTCGCACTGAAGTTGGTTAAATGTCAGTGCTAGTTTCTTCTAATTCTCCTAGTTTTTGCTAATTTTGCTAGTTTTTGTATGGACATTTTGCTAGTTCGTTAATTCTAGTGCGCGTGAATATGCCCTTGAGAAAAATAATGAGTTTAGTAGCAGTAAGACGAACTCTCGACGCACAAGACTGGACAAAAAAAAAGTTTTTTTTTTTAAAGAAATGGATTGTTTAAATATATGAAAAAATAACGTTTTCAACCTTTTTGTATCATTCAAAAAGCAAGGAGATGCGGAAGCGTATCTCCATTAAAAAATGTTGCCAAATTAATTAACAACAATTATTTTGCGAAGAGATCCGATGAATTTCTAATCAACAAAATTCAAAAATGTATGTTTGCAGTACCTTAATCACGGTGAAAACTTGTGAATGCTATTTTCTTACCAAAACAATTCCGCCTGCATACCAATATGCATCATTCAATGAGACATTGCCACTCTTAGAGAAGTATTCAACGAAACCACCCAAACAAATCGGCTGGATGACCCTATAAATAAGTGATTGTACAATTGGACAATTCAAGAGGCATGGAGAATTCTTAATACTTACTTCGCAAGTATTTCTCCCAAACAGTATAGCACTCCAAGTGTAAACACCTTGAAACCGTGCACTTTTAACATCACCCGCAAAATGCTTGGATTCCTTTTTTGCAGCTCTAATTCCCATAGTTTTGCAAATGTCTCAGTATTTCGATCGCTTTGCAGGCTATTTGTCACCTCATAGATGTCTTCTGATTCAATGGTTCGGCTCATTCCAATCGAAAGCATTGGATTTAACCACCTGAATGAAAGAAACCAATATATTAAATCATTTTCATTTGAATACAGAAACATTTCCTGAAATGGGTGTTTCCTTAACATTCGGGAATTTTTCCAAGAAAATTTCTCAATTTTTTGGGAAAAAGTATCTCCGGGAAATGTTTCGGGAAATGACAAAATTTGTAGGAAAAATCATTCACCAATAGGTCAATTGTGACACGATTGAAGCCTTCGAAATGGGATTTGGCGGGCGCACTTTCTTTTCTCTGTCACGATTCATTTTGTATGCGTGTTGTTCCTAATGGCTGGGTTTTGAAAACACGTTATCTCACGATTCACACTTTTTAGTTTTCAAGCGAAGACTCATTCATCGATTGTTCCACTCTGAAATCAATACTGAAATTTGAGTTAAGTAAAATGATTGGTTTTGTAACGAGCACTATATCGCTTTGCTGTCAGTTATTTACTATACAAATTGTTTCCAAAATGACGATTCGTTCAATACA